TTAAAAAATGCCGTTTTGGGACACTTGAAAAAGGAACATAACTTCGATATTCATACACATTTTTCCGTTCTGTTTTTCTTTATCATAGACTTTAAAGGGCCGGCAAGAACTATGAACTACGCAAAATCGTGTTTCCAAATTGAGTAAATTTAATATTATAATGGTTCGAAATGTGCCACAACACTGCCTCTGATCTTCTGTAGATTGGACATACATGTATTTCTGTGTCCTCTGTGTCATTAAAGCGTTGATCAGAGTTGTTCTTCCTTTTGTTTTTGTTTTACGGCGCTCACAGTGACGCAGTAGAGGGCAGAGCGTAAACCTGACCGTAACGACAAGGAAGAACAGTGGGTGGTTTGCGGGTGCTCTAGTGTGGTTTTTCTTCTTCTTTCCTATGAAACATCTATTGCCTTTTTCTCCCCTCCTTTTTTGTTTATTTGTTACTCTCTTGTAACACCTCTAATCTTCGGCACTTATATGACCATATTAAGTTGCAAGTGCCGTAAAACTCTTACTAAAACTAAAAGTAAATACCCCTAATCTTCGGCCCTTATATGACCTTATTGTGTTGCAAGTGCTGTAAAACTCTTACTAAAACTAAAACTAAACACCCCTAATCTTCGGTCATTGTATGACCTTATTGTGTTGCAAGTGCCGTAAAACTCTTTACTAAAACTAAACAAACAAGGGCCAGTCTTTCATTCCGTTTTGTGTTGACGAATGGTGAGTGGCGGGAGACAGGGGTTATGGATTGCAGTTTGGGCACTGGAGAATGGCACCATTGTTTGTGCCCCCCCCCCCCCCAGTTGTTACCTTCAGTCTCTGGTTGTCCTATGTGTGCTATTTATTAGTTAGGTGTTTTTTAAATCTCCCTGTCTGTGGGTGGTTGGAGGGTGCTACTGGCAAGTCCTACTTCTTCACTTTTCTTTTGTTGTTTCTGTCTGTCTGTCTTACTTTTCCCCAGCACTAAATGGCTGTTATTGTGTCGATGTGCCTCTCTTTACTCAAACAATCTCACTCTCCCAGAGAGTTGAGGGTGGGTGGCTGGGGGGCGCCACTGGTTGGTCTCATCTCACTTCTGCTGTTCTTTTCTTCTGTCTCCGTCTTGCTGTTTCCGCGCTCTGTTTTTGTGTCAGTATGCTTTTCATCGCTCAGAGAAACAGAAACGCTCCGTGGTGTAATTTCTCGCTCTCCCCAGAGGGAGACGAAAATAAATCTTTGGCGGCTATATTTAGACTTACAGGAGTTGATTTGCTTTTTGGGCGTGGTAGGGAGGGGAGAGGAGGAAAAATGCAACTTGTAGAGTTCATGACAGACGAATCCCAAAGTACCGGTCATTGCAAGGGGGTCAGAATTGCCGAATAAGAAGTTAGGCTTTCCAACTTCAGTCTGAACAGTATCTGTGTGAAATGGTCGTTTTTTAGGACAAGCGGGCTAACCCAGATTTCGGGTGTTTCCAAAAATCTTGACCTACACCAATAGTTGGCATTGCCCTACCCATAGGAGAAGTTTGGTTTCATTGGTGTGTATATTTGTTTGACTTCAGAGAAAACTCTTCTTGCCTTTTTAAAGGGACTTTTAGGATCCAAAAACTTCGAACTTCTGAAAACATTTATCGGGATAGCCCCCTTAAGCTTAAAACCGACCAAATATAAATGTATATATGTTTAATTTTTAGAAAACTGGAAAGTGCCCAGCGGGTTGGGTTTTTTGA